CGGGTAAATTACTGATAGCCAGTGCCCTCCCCAGGGGACCCTAGAAACCGGGATCCCACTTTCCACAGCTGCAGGTCACCCATTGGCTGCCAGATCCATGCCAGTTTTCTTCAAGTTCAGCTGCAGCCTGCTGACTTGGGCACTTCCACCCACGACCTGCTTGGCTGACCACGTGCCCCAGATGGTTCCAAATGGTCAACCTTTTGAGCCCACAGACACGGTGTCCAGACCATGTGTCCCCTTTCTGCACCAGTGCCTATGGTGCCCAGTTTCTCTAGCCCTTGCCAGCCTGTTCCCAGCTTCTGGCCCTGCCTGCTGCCTGGTCAGCAGAAATCTCCTGGGCCGCATCCTAGACCTGTGTTACAGCAGGTGCAGACGGTCAATCCCACTCAGTGACGAATCAGCCACAAAATAAGCCTTGTGTCCTGAAGGCAACACCTACCTAATCTATACCCTTAGCTACTTTGCTATCCCAAGGGGGAAGAGGACAGGTGTCTCTGTCCGACGTCTCTGTCTCTCTCATCCTCAGCTTAGAGACACAGTGCGAGTAATGAGAGCTTGTGCTAGTGCTAAGCCAACAACAAAAATCCCAGCTTCAGCACTTTATTACAGTGCGGAATTACCTAATTCCAGCAAGCTATTTAACTCTTTAAATCATTATAACAACAGTAACAATAGAGCCTAATATTTATTGGTTGCGTATTTGTCGGCTAAACGCTTTGAGAGGCATTCTCTCAATCCTCTCTGTTACTATGAGAGAGGTTTCATTGTTCTCTCCACTTTAAAGAGGACACAGAGAGTTAAGTAACTTGCCCAAAATCACTACTGCTGAGTCAAGGAGCTAGATTTGCCTGATTTTGCAACCCAGACCCTCTGGGACTCAACTTCCTCATCTGTGAAATGTGAACAGTAAAAATGACTTCACAGGACTGACCAAGAATAAGAGATGCCACTTCTAGAGGGTCCCTGCTAGATGCTCAGCAATGCTAACTCCCCCAGCTATCTTAAAGGAATCAACATAAGCCATTGGGACGTTGGCTGTCAGTGAAGATTTGTCCCCATGGCAGACATTTCCCAAGATGAACTGATTTGCAGTGGGAACTGCAGCTGATGGCCTGGAAGCCCCTCATCAACCCTTCTGAAAGAGATTCTGCGGGTGCCAGTTCCTTTTCAACTCAGGAGGTGGAACATGCAGACACCAGCCCTGCTGTTGAGAACAATGTCTGTCAGAAACATGCCTTCTCTGAGGCGACAACCATTATTAATGGGCAGGACACAGACTCTTTAGCCAGGTCTATGGGAAGGGGGGAAATGTAGATCCCAGTTGTATGTGAAGCCCCTCAAGTTGACTCAAGTGTGTCATTTAGAACTGCACAGAAACATTACTTTTTTTTTTTTAAGAAAGACTCAAAATTACTGAAATGAAAGTTCTTTCTTTCCAAAATGTCAGAGCAAAGTACTGCCAGACCAACCTCCACTCTTGCTTTCCTCAGCCTCTCTTAACATCATTTAGAAGTTTGTTTTTTGCCCTCCCTTCCCCCATTCATGTCTTTCTGGCTCTGTTGGGAATAGTGTAATTTGGAGTGGGATGCTTTTTCTTTCCCTTTTGGTTTGCGTAAGTGGTCTGTGGGTTTATTTTATTCCAGATGTTTCTCCCCAACCTGCCTTTTGAAAGAAACCCAGAATTATTTTTAAACAGAATTTGGAGGCTTCCAAATACAACAAATATTCAAATTGCCTATGGGTTCCTACGTTACAAGTCCTTACTTGGTGGTGGGGTGAACAGAGGCCATGGAGCCAGTGGCTCTGGGGATCCAGGAGGCCTCAGAGGCTTGCTGCGTGGGCCTGAACTGCCTTCTCTTGCTTTCTCTTCTCTGCTTCCTGGACATCAACCCAAGTGACCTCTGGCTGCCCCCGAGATACCCACCTGAGGAACCCAATTCTATCCCGGGAACACTGCTTAGCTCTTCTGCTGAATTTTGCCAGCACCGATTTCCCTCCAGAAGCTAACCTGACAGATTCCTGTTGAGATGACACCACAGCACTTCATATATTACCTCCTCTCCCACTTCATGCATTACCAGGGCCCATAATGCCTTCAGCCAGTGGTTCTCAACTTTGGCCACACATTAGAATCATCCAAAGAACTCATTCAGATACAAATGTTTATGCCCCACCCACCCAGACCTGAGGGTTAATGCCCTGGAAACTGGATTTTAAAAAATAGTTTCTACTTTTAATTATAAAGGTAACCTGTACTCATAGTTCTTGTTATTGCTGTTAAGGTAAACATTACAGAAATGTTTTAAGCAAAAAAGCAAAAATATCCTCTCCCTTCCTCCTTGTTATTCCAATCTTACGCTTCAGGAGCAAACACTGTTAATGGTTTCATGTGTCTCTTTTCAGAAGTTGTGTATTTTGCTAAATCATGTATGTGTATTTTTTATACCCATGTGATCACATGATCACATTTGCTTTTTGCGTCCCCAGGGAACCTTGGAGAACTTTCCACATCACTACAAAGGGAGTGAGCTCATTCTCCCTGAAGCTTACAACACTTTGCTGTTTGTGGGGCCCTCAGCTCTCCGGTTGACTGTGAAGCTCAGGCTGCTGGGGAGGATCAGCTGGAGAGTGGCCCCTCCACAGGGGAAGGTGGTCAGTGCTTTCTAACATCTCTCTTAACTTCCAGGATGTATTCTGGGGAAAGAAAGCTTTTCCCAAAATTGTACTCAGAGTGTAGGCTGATTGTGTGAAAATGCCTCGATAGAGACTTTAGGTCTTCTGTTGAATTTCTTCGGTATCCCTTTTCCCTAGGGACTAATAGGAATGATCGTCTGTAAGCTAACACCATAGCACTGAGATAACACCACAGCCTATCACTCCTCCCAGGTGATACATGTCCGACAGCCTGTGTGAATTGCAGAAAAACACAGACTTCGAAGTAGAACTTCAAGTACATCCTGGCTCTCAAATGTTTTATTTGTTAAAGTACAGGCCTCAGGAACACTCTAGAGGACCTCGGGAGGAGAGGTTTACCTAGATAGTTCCTCGGTAGAAACATAGGAAAGAGAGGGCACATCTCAGGGTGATGGTTTTGAGACTGAATCAGTGACTTCACCGAGACGACAAGACTGGCGTAAACTTGCAATTTGATTTCTTGCTTAAACTAATGTCTAGTTTCCCACTGTGTAAGCGCAGTTCCCTCTGACTTTTTGGACTGTTTTCACCATCCTTCCCTGTAGGGCATGCATCAACGTAGAGAGAAAGCCTCCCTCTAGTCTGGTTCTGTCACTGCCTTGGCATGTGATGCTTCCTAAGTCCTATAACCTAACTGGGAACCAGTCTCCTTATCTAGGAAATGAGGCCAGTAAAATAGATGATTTTCTTTTTCTTATAAAACCCAGGCGGGTCTGAAGGTCAGATGATTTTTAAGGTCCTTCCTGGCTTTAAAATTCTAGGTTTCATGACTATGACCACCCACAAACCATACAGATTTTTTTTTTTTAAGCCACAGCTGAATTTAGTTCTTTGGGAAAGAGGCGGTGGAATCGCATTACCCAGCTGGGTGCTTCCTATGTAATCTGTTGTTTTCCTGACTCTTGTAGCTCTTTTCCTTCCAGAGCTTTCTGTGAGCCTGTACACTGAGAGCATCTAGCCTTGATGGCTTGAGCTTTCTTTCTTCCACGATTGCCACCACCCTGCCACTTATCTCAATAGGGTATCGTCCAATTTAATGCATTGTAATAATTATGTCTTATATGTATATAAGCTTTAACAGTGCACCAAGAATGGTATTTTAGAACTCACATGGGTTTTTTTTAGCAAGACATTGTCAGAGTTTGAATTCTGCCTTGTAGCAGCTGCGAATTTGGTTGCAAACACAAACCGTTTCTGGTTAACTTCAGCAGAGAAGGAATTTAAGTGAGGAGCAGTGGGAAGCACATAGAATCATGGGCCGCCGGGAGGCCTTGGCTGGGGCAAGACGTAGAGGAGGACAGGCACAGTCCAGAGGCCGCCTCGAGAGCCACCGACTTGGGAGGAGCACTTGTCACTGCTGTTCACTGCCACCTCATCTAATCCCTAAATAACCGTGTGCCTTGGCTTCTCTCCCTAATGGGCCAAAGCTTTAAGCAACCAGAGAGTGGGAAGCATCCCCTTCAGCTGGGTTTCTCTAGTGGGCAATGGAATCTTCCTTCTACTTATCCTGATGTTCCTCCCAAATAAGAAGTACTGTATATCCACAAGTGGACATCCAATACAAAGAAGAAGAACCCTGACGCTTATCTGACATCGTATACAAAGATTAACTCAGGTTGGATCATAGACCTAACTATAAGATTGAAAACTGCACAGCTTCTAGAAGAAAGCATAGAATAAGTATATCTAGATGCTAAGCAGCCAGAATGACCAATGCCTACCACAGGGTCCCACCACCTAGTACTACTAGCTGTGTGACTTGGTCAGATGAGGGGGAGAACAATCCCTGTCTCCAGGCAGCTGCATGGATCCAGTGGGAACATGCGTAAACCCCTCAGCCTGGGCCCTGCCCTCTCTGTGCAGGGATGTTCACCTGAACTAACCTGTAGCTTGCATGTTCCTGAGCGTGTCCCAGCCTTCAGGTGTCCCTCTGCTAGGAGGTAAGGGTGCAGTCTTAGAGGGGATAGACCATTTTGACACCTCTTATCTTTTGCAGCTTTGAGAGCCCCGAGATTCAACCCTGCTTGGGATATAGTAGGTACAGGGAGGGTATTCTCAGGCAGGGAACTGGGAGGGAAGGCTGTGTGTGGGTCCTCCTGAGACACATCTAGGCACTCTGAAAAATATCTCAGTGAAACTTCTGTGGGGAAGTGCTGGAGGCTTGTGTCAGCAGGTGGGAGGCCCTGGTGACGTCTGTTAATGTGGATTCATTTGTCCCTCTGGTGCTGGACCTGAGCAAATTTGGGATGCACATACATCCTCTCATTGGATTCTTGTTATATCCCTTTGAGGTCAGCATAGCAAATATTGTAGACTCATTTTTTTTTTTTTCCCACAGAGGAAGAAACTGAGGCTATAGAACAAAAACTTGCTGAAGGTCACTCAGGTTGGGCTGTGGGACTTGTTTTCCTGCCCCGAGCCCAGCGTCCTTCCCACCATCCAACACTGTTTCCTTTCTTGGTACCTCCATTATTAGAACACCTGGATATTCTTAGCTAACAATGGATGACATAAATAAACACACGGTCATTTCCCCACATTTCCGCACAGGTCCTCTGCAGATGGCAAAGCCCTTTCTCTAAATGCACTGCATGAAAAGGCGTTTCAAAGGTTGGAAAGAGATCTTCAGCATTAATCATCATGGGACAGCGGAAACTGGCTTTGCAAGGGATGGACTGGGCTTCAGGGAAGGTGGACAGATCGAGATCGCTGTCAGGAGATCAGTGATGGAAAGTCAGGGCTGCCATCCCAGGGGCTTGGTGGAGGGCTTCTGCTGTGCCAGGGAACAGGTGTCTGGACTCGGTCTCCCAGGGCGAGCGCCGTCTGCTGCCAGCCCTTGCAGAGACTGGACTGAAGCTCTGAGTACATGATTTGTAGGCCAGGATCCTGCCTGCCCCTGAGGCTGAGGCCAACGTGGGGGTGGCTGCCTTTGAGGCTGGTCTAGAATTGTCCATGTATTTACTGAGCCAAGGAGGAAGAACCAAAATAGATGCTGGGAGAAAGCAAAGGTCAGGGGCTCAGAAAGGCAGGTCCTGTGTCAGGCTAGAAGGGGATAGTAGAATTGGGGGTGTTGGGGGGATGGTGTCAATAGTCAGTGGGGATGAGGACTAAGGGAAGAACCCCTCTCAAAGGACTCCTATGCCTAGCAGAGGGTAAGTGATCAATCGCTATTTGTTGAAGTAATTAATAGTTCAGCAACCAAGGACAGTCTTGTGGGGATAGGGGTGGCTCCTAAAAAGGGCCGTGGTAGGAAGGGTGGGGCAGGAAGCTCTATGTGGTTGAGCCCCTCTGGGGCCCTCAAACTCCAGCGTCAAGTATTCTGTCCTTTTGAGCCCGAGTGACACCTCTGATTTTTTACTCTATCTTGAGGGGGAAGCAGGCCCCCCACAAAGGAGTTGAATCCCCACAGATGAAGATACCTCACTGAGCCTTCATTTGTCAGCCAAAAAGGGAAAGGTAGGCATTTGTCTAATTTTCTCAAATTTTAACCAGCTAACAGGTTAGAGGTCATGTTTTAAGTGAAGAGAGAAAAAGAAAGGAGAAAGCAAGACACTTGAATTTGCTCAATGACTCAGAAACTTTAACCAAAACACTCAAAAATCAAGGCTGACCTTAATTGATTTGTTTAGACATTAACCTTTAGAAAAAATGTGTATACATAGAAAGAGTGTGTACATGTGTGGCCTTGAAAAACGTTTATGATTCATGGAAGGCGATAACTGCTTTAGCACAATCGCGTGGTTCAGTTTGAAGTCCAGCAGTTCTATGTATCCGTTGTGTGACCTTGATCGCTTGGTCCCAGGGTCCCTCCCATCCTTGCTGGGTGAGTGCACAGAGATGGACCAAAGTGCCAGTTCCAGCCCCCATTTTTGGCTTCTTGGCTCTCGAGGCACCGGATTTTCTGACTCATCAGGGGCATTCAGGTTCTGATGGCTTGGTTAGTCCTCAAGGATGCCCCTTGGCTGACCGGGTTGAGTTTTCTTTAGTTCTCAGCTTTCCTTGGTTTCTTAATTTCAATGTCATATCATCCCTTGGGATCCTGTTGGCCAGGCCCATCTCTGGAGGAGGGTTGACCTCAGCTTTCTGATTTTCTCCCTTACTTCCTTCCCTCCTTCCATGTAAGATGAGATGGTTGGACTGGACTAACTCCAGAATCCCTTCCCGCTCTGACTTCTCCATGGTTTGATGAAGGTGGCCACTGAGACATTTGGTCAGGGGCCCCTCTCTGAAACCACTGAGGACGGCATGTGGTAACTCCCCCTGCTATGTCCATACAGCTATTCTCCTATGAGAAGAGTTGATATGGCTTTCTGCACGAAGTGACAAAGCCAAAGAGCCAGACAGAAGCCATGGGAGAAAAAGGCAGGACAGAAAGCAGACAGCAAAGACCAACCTGCCCTCTGAGGGCATGCCCGTCTCATGCAGGGCTGTTTGCAAAATGGGTTTTCATCGTGTTCTCAGGCTTACAAGCAACTCATTGTTCTCAGAGAATAGCAGCTGCTACTGGGGAGTATTCAGCCTTGGGTGTGACCACTTAGGGAAGCGAGTTTTCAGCAGAAGGCCTGAGCCTTCCTCTGACAGGAAAGGAGGAAGTCATTCTGGGCAGGGGATTCGTTTTCTATTGCTGCTGTGACAAATTACTGCAAATTTAGCGGTTTCAAACAACATAATTTATCATTGTATAGTCCTGCAGCTCAGACACGAGCCTCACTTGGCCACAGGAGTGCATTCCTTTCTGGAGATTCTAGGGGAGAATGCATTTTCTTGTCAGTTGGCAGAATTCAGTTCCACAAGGTTGTGGGACTGAGGTCCCCATTTCCTTGTTGGCTGTCAATGGCGGGATCCCTGAGCTCCTTCTTGGAGGCCTCTCCCTGGTCCTTGTCTATGGACCCTGGTATCCCAGAACCAGCAGCAGCGCCCCTTCTCACACAGCCATCTCTCTACCATTCCTCAGTTTTCACCACTCTCCCTCTGACCACGAATGGGGAAGGTTCTCTACTTTTTTTTGTTGTTTTGAGATGGAGTCTTACTCTATCACCCAGACTGGAGTGACAGAGCAAGTGGCGTGATCTCTGCTCACTGCAACCTCCACCTCCTGGGTTCAAGCAGTTCTCCTGCCTCGGCTTCCCTAGTAGCTGGGATTACAGGCACCCACCACCACACCTGGCTAATTTTCGTATTTTAGTAGAGATGGGGTTTCACCATGGTGGCCAGGCTGGTCTTGAACTTCTGACCTCAAGCAATCCATCGGCCGCCTCGGCCTCCCAAAGTGCTGGGATTACAGGCATGAGCCCCCATGCCTGGTCAGTACTTTTAAGGACTTGTGTGATTAGATTGGACCCACCTAAACCACCCCAAGTAGTCTCTCCATCTCAAAATCTTTAACTGAGTCACAACTGCAAAAGCCCTTTTGTTTGCCATGTAAGGTCGCCTATTTACTGGTTCTGGGCATTAGGAAGTGGACATCTTTAGGAGGCCGCTAGCTTGCCACCCACTGGCAGCTTAGGCCATGTGATTTGCTGACCCTCTGCAGATGTTACACTGAGACAGCAAACCTTTTTCAGGTGACTCATACCACCTGTGCACATCAGGAGACAGAGTCATGTGAACTGCAGCAAACCAGTGCCAGCTGGGCATTGTGCAAAGCAGGACTTGAATGTGTCTATCACACGCACTTTGTGGTCAAAACATCAGATGCCCTGAGTAATTAGTGTTCACATGGCTTTGTGAAATACGGTTATGCAGCCTAGCTCATAAAGCGTTTTTATAGAGCTGGCACCAATGGAACCCACTCCGCTTGCTTTTCCTGTTCCAGCTTTTCTAGGCACAGTCAGGATCTCCGATGGAACTTCAACAATTGCCAGCTCCTGCATTCCCCTTCCACGACTGTGGGTGGCCCCTCTTGGCTTCTGACCGCAGACTGGGCCTGCAGAGGCAGTGTTACCAGACCTGAGCTCTTCCTCTGCATTTGCATTTGCTGTTCCCTGGCCTGCAATGCCCCATCCTTCCCACCTCTCCCAAGGGCCTAGCAGCCCCTCCTACACAGCCTTCTAGCCCCTTTCTGCTCAAAGCGCATCTGAGGACCTGAGAGCTGTAGGAAATGCAGAATCTCGGGCCCCACCGCAAATCTACTGAAGCCAAATTTTCTGTTTAACATGATCCCTGGAGATTCATAAGCATGTTAGTCTTCGCTGCACCCCTTCCTCACTACCCCTAGGCCCAGCCAAATAAACTCTTCTTCCCGTTCCCCTGTGTCCCTTTGGACTTCATTCATAACAAGGGAGTATAACTGGATGGTAAAAGGGACTTTCCTGTTATCTAGACATTTCAGCAGAGGCCTCAAAGACAGAACAAAATAAATAGGTGCAAGGAGGCGCACATCCGCACTAAGTTCTGAGATCCTGCCCAGGACGAGCTCGGTGAGTGGGAAATCTTCCTCTGTCAGCCCTTCACCCACTTCCAGCCTCAGATCAAGGCGTCAGGGAGGGTTTACTTGAAGAGGGTGGGCTGAGGGCTGTGTGTTCCCACCACCCCTGTTGCCCTTCCATGGGCTGGGGCAGCAAGTGCTTCCCCCTCACTTCAAGGAAGTGAGGAGAGCTGCACTGGGAGCTCTCCCCCTACTGGTCTGAGAAGTCAGGGCTGCTGTGGCCAATAGTGGCCTGCCCCAGGGGACAGTGGGGTGAAGTTGTGTGGCTCCTGGGGACCTGATGTGGGTGGTGGAGAGACTTCCTGGAGCCTTTTTGAAGGGGACTCCACCCAAGTGGGCTGCCTGAAAAGGCAAAGGGACTCAAGAGAGATGTGGGCCCCCGGAAAACCCTCAAGAGCTGCTGCGACCCTGCCCGACAACTACACACACCCAGCCTCATAGTGAAAGCTGTAGTTGAGGTAGGGTTGCCGGATTCTACAAATCAAAATACAAGACACTCGTTTAAATTTGAATGTTGGGTAAACAACACGTATGTTTTTGGTATATGTTGCATGAAATATTTGGGACATACACTAGAACATTTTTAATTTTTATCTATCTAAACTTCACATTCAATTGTGCATTCTGTAATTTTATCTGGCAACCCTAAGTTGGGAGCTTTACAGCTGAAGTTCAAGTGGCTTCTCCAAGAAACCAAAGGAAGCATGCCAAAGAGAATTCAGCCCCAATGTCCGCTCACAACCGAAGCAGTCAAGTTGCATCCTTTCTGCTCCCTCATCCTGGCCCCCTCACCTCAACCCTTCATCAGGACAGGGAGTGGGAGGGGACAGGAGAAGAAGATGACTACCTGCATCACTTCAGGCTTCTGAGCCAGAGAGAAGATGCTTTAACTTTAAACGAAATTGAACATTTTGATTATTACCTGGATCAGACACAGACATACAGCTACTGTTCTTATGACTTAAAGCGGCCTATGATGTCCACCTAAGACATCATGTCTTAGGTGGGGAAGGAAGCAGGTCCTGGAGCTGTTTGGAAAAGACAGTGGATGAAGGGAGAGTTGCTTCAAGAGTGTGCTCAGCTGAGTAGCAGTGGTCCCCAAACTGATGGCTTGTTTGCAGAGCCATCTTTCTCACTAGCATCTTAGCATTTGTTTGGGTCTCCAGTTCATGGCATGTGTAGTAGATGCTCAATAAATGTCTGACTGTGTTGTTTTTTTGAGACAGTGTCTCACTCAGTTGCCCAGGCTGGAGTACAGTGGTGTGATTGATTATAGCTCACTGCAGCCTCAAACTCTTGGGCTCAAGTGATCCCTCCTGTCTCAGCCTCCCTAGTAGCTGGGACTACAGGTGCATACCACCATGCCTGGCTAATTTTTATGTTTTTCTTTGTACAGACAAAAAAGAAAAAAATTGGGTCTTGTTCTATTGTCCAGGCTGGACTCCAACTCCTGGCCTTAAGTGATCCTCCCAGCTTGCCCTTCCAAAGTGTTGGGATTATAGATATAAGCCACTGTGCCTGGCCACGTCTGGGTGTTGAATGTTGACAGCTTCAGCGAATTGACCCTCTTTTCACCTACGGGGCTTATGAAGAGCGAATCTTTCTGGCATTGCATAATCCTTCCCAAGGGTACTTTAGCTGTGGTAAGCCTTGTTGTTCTAAAACATGCCAGGTATGATGACACAGATCAGCTGAGCTGGACTTAGAATCTTCTCTGAGAACATTTGCAGGCACTCAATGTTCACAGCGGGGCAGATCTAGGTTTCCAGGAACCTGAGGCTTACAGGAACTGGGATTCATTCTAAGAAAAAGAATATCAAATTACGAAGACAAAATTAGGCATCAATATGAATATTAATTTAGGATAAATCACAACAATCGCAAATCCTAAAAAGCTAACAAATACATCGCAAAATCTAGAAGGGTAACGATATTTTTAATTGGTTAACTTGGATAATCACTATAGCATGTTTTTTCTACATTTTTTTGCTATATATTTTTTCTATACTTTTTGGTCAATGCTCTTGTAGTAGTGGCCTATACAAGGGTTCCTGTTATTGTTGTTGATGTCTATGTTTTGTGATCAAATCACCAAGATTGCAAATCTTTTTTTCAGCACATTCATATGATTCAGCCTCCTTCATTAAATTGGGTTATTCAAACAATTAACTATACTGCAAATTTATCTCTTCCTTTTAATGAAGTACTACTTTGGCATAATCTGACTTTTATAATTATTCTCTCTTCTATCTTCATTATTTATATTTTCTTAGCTATTATGATTCTTCTCAATTTCATGCTTTTGTCTATCAGATTTTTTAGCGCCTATTGCGATAGAACAAAAGAGTTTTGGACATTTTATAACTTCTTCCAGTCCTTTATCTTTCAGTTTTTGTCTGAGGCCTCTACTAGGGTGTTTTCTTCTCAGCACATTTGATTTTTGTATAGTTAATAATTCTGAAATAAAGATATTCTCAAGAGCAGCTCAGATGCACTTGAAAATTGTGGAAATGTATTGAGTTACATACTGCATAATCAAATTACTTTTTTGCCACAAAGACTGGTGAGTATGTGTAGGGGTTTCATTACCCTGGAGTACTTTTTCTTTGCTTTTTTTCCCTTTCTTTCCATTTCTGTGGTAATTTGGTGCACAGTTTCACCAGGAACTGTGAGACTTCATGAGGACAGGAGGATCAGATACTGTAAGGGTAATCCGTTCGGTTGGCACGATAAATCTGTGGAAGACATCATATGAACAATGGAATCTTCTTTCTTTGCAGAGAAAAGTGGACAAGCATCCAATTTCCAAATCAATTCTTGGGATAAATTGGTATAACTTGTGGGAAGGCAGCTTGTCAATATGTATTGCAAGCTCTAAAAATATTTATGTCCCCTTCAAATACATGCACCTTCCTATAGTTTGACTGAGTAATTTGATTTAGGTATATTAATCTTAAGAAAATATTAACAACATATTCCTTAAACTTTTTTTTTTTTTTTTTGAGACAGAGTCTTGCTCTGTCGGCCAGGCTGGAGTGCAGTGGTCTGATCTCAGCTCACTGCAACCTCCGCCTCCCAGGTTCAAGCGATTCTCCTGCTTCAGCCTTCTGAGTAGCTGGGACTACAGGCATCACCACGCACAGCTAATTTTTTTTGTATTTTTAGTAGAGACAGGGTTTCATCATGGTTGGCCAGACTGGTTTCGAACTCCTGACCTCAAGTAATCTGCCCACCTTGGCCTCCCAAAGGGCTAGGATTACAGGCGTGAGCCAATATGCCCGGCCTCTTAAGATATTTTTGGAATAAGTTGCTCCAACAATATATGATTGGTTATTTAATTGGAAAACATCAACTTAATGGATATTTTTACTATTGAAGTTTATAGAAGGTTTGTTATATGTTAGAAAATGGCTCTTACATCACATTAAACAAAACAAAAACAAAATACAATATTGTATATACATTTTGATCTCAACTAGGTTAATACTAAACCCCATGCTCAGAAAAAATCCTGGAATATACTTATTTTAAAATGTGTACTCTCTATATAAGTATACTATACATATATATATCATAAACACCCTCCCATGTCAACAAATATAGATTGTGATATCATTTTTAATAGTTGTATAGTATTTTACTGTATGCATGAACAAAAATTTTTCTGATCTTTTAAGACATTCAGACAGCTTCAAATATTTTTCTGTTTTAAGTACACCACAATGAACTATCTTGTATATTAATCTTTAGCCAGTTTTCCAATTATTTCCTCAGGATAAATTCCTAGAAGTGAAATTGCTAGATCAAAAGCATTTTTAGGACTTTTGAAACCTATCGCTAAATGACCTTCCAAAGAGACTATAAATTTATGTGCCACCAGCAGCATAGGAGTGCATGGCCTTTCTCTGGTGCCTTTGCCAATGCTGACTCCTCAACTTGCTTTAAAATGCAGAAAATAACAAGAAAATATGCCTGCAATAGATTTGAAACTTATTAAATGCATGAAAGTTTTTATTACACAATCCTGGCTTGCTATAAAAATGTTGCTAGGCGTTAACATCCACTGCATAGTTACCAGGTCCCAGGCAATGTGTGACATGAGTTAATTCTCATAGTGCTGCAGATAACTCCATGCAGTGGGGGCCATCATCCATCAATTTCACATGTGAGGAAATGAGGCGCAGGGGTGCTAAAGGTAACACAGTCCAAGGTAATGAGGGAATGAGCTAAGATTTCAACCCAAGCCACAGCCTACATCAAACTGTACAGCTTCTCTCAGTCCCTGCTGAGATGTTCCTAAGCATGCAGTGAACCCTTCAGCTCAGGATACACCACGACACCGGAAATTCCTCTAGTCCATATTTGAGGATGACTCTTAGTTTAGGCAGAGGCCCCAGAGACAACCATTGAGAAGATGCCAAAACTCTACCTACTAGTGTGAGGTAGGCCACTTGCGCAGGACCTGCCAGGAAGGTATAAACCTGGCCTGCCAGCTCTAGCCCACTGGTCACTCAGGCTGAAGAATCATGAGAAAAGGGTTATTTGGGAGAGAGCTGAGTGTCAGGATGTGCCTGCTATTCTTGGGTCAGGTGACTGTTTCCTCCTGGTTTGCCTGGGGCTGTCCTGGCTTTAGCAATGGAAGTCTTGTATCCTGGGAAACCCCTTAGTCCTGGGCAAACTGGGTCAGCTAAGCACCATATTCCTGGGGGAAGGTTCTGGCACTTCCTTCCCACCTCAAGACAGGTGTGAGGGGCTTTGAGGGAGCCATGGGCCTGGGACAGAGCTAACACCCATGCATCAGACACCCAAAGGACCCATGCCAGGTCACACTGCTGTGCCTGCCTTCCTCCCTTCTCCCTCTGGGTCTGGCTTCAGAGGGTCTGAAACCCGTTAGTGAGAATGGGGGCTGGGAGTGGAGCCAGGAGAGAGGAGAAACTAGCAACACAGACCCCTGCTCCTCTTCAGGCTGCTTCTAAGGCTGGAGTAAGCCTCACTCAGATTGCGAGAGGAGACCGAACTTAACAACATTTAAAGTTCGATGTTACACTGGCTTGGACATTTTAGTCACAGAAATGAGACTTGAAAGAGCCAAGAAGCACTGTGGGAGCTGCCAGGGACGTCCCCTGGGGCTGGGGAGGAATGATCACAGAGGGCAGGGGAAGGCTGAAGCTGCTTATGAGCCAGCGCTGCGGAGGGTGACCCTCTCTACAACCGGGCTGCTTGGAGTGGCCACTATGGGCCCCACCGGGGCCTTGCCACCTCCTCCCAGCCAGGGGTGGAACTACAGTTGCTGCCATTCTACTGCCTAAGGGGCAGGGGTGGGAGGTAAGAAGCCAGGGTCCCCTCACTGCCCCCTGCCCATCAGGCTGTGGCAGGAGCCTTTCCCCACCCCAGATGCTGCCTCCTCAAATGGGGCATCCCAGCTCTCCAAACCGCTGGAGCCTGTCCTTCTCCTCCCAAGCAACCACAATGATAAATGACAGCTTGTTGATACATGTGAGACACCAAAATAGGTCCTTAATAGACATTGTCTTCTTTTGTCCTTTTAATTTACCAGTGAGGTATTGTTACCATTCTCATTTTTCAGAGGCGCAGAAAGGTTAAGAAACTTGCCCAGCTATTATGTAGCAGAGTGGACTTGAAATCAGTTCTGTCTCCATCCAAAGCACATGTTCAGTTCACAATTCTGCACAGCCTCCTAGCTCTCACCTAGCCTAACCTCCCAGCTCCCCACCAGGCACCTGGGAGGGACAGCTTCACACCGGGACCTTGGTGGGATAGCTGCGTTTCCATTATTCTTACTTGAAACCTGGAATGGGTTTTTTCATGGAAACAATATGATGAAGGGTTCCATCCACTGCACAGTGGTTACTTATTGGTTAAGTCGCCCTTTGTGACCTAGCCTGGGGTTCTGACCACACTCGATCATGTGATTTCCCAGGAAGAAAACACATCCTGGGTTCTAAATAGCAAATTCCAAACACACTGTTAGGACACAGCTTATTTGTGAGTTAGGGAATGTCTGCCTGTAAATGATTTTAATTTGTGTGACAAGAAAAATATACTGGGCTCTTTCATTATGCTACTTGGGTTGTTGGTTTAGAATAACACAGAAGTGAGGCTGCCCCACAGTTTGTCCTTCTACAAGGGCGTCATCTATTTGAATTATTCCGTCTCTTCAAAGAGTTTGTGGCTAAGTGTATGGTACTGAAGACGCGTGTGGTTTAGTGAGTGAATTAGGAGTCAGGAGATGTGGGTCTAGCCCTCCCTTTGCCCTTAACCAGCTGTGGGACTTTGGGTGAGTCACTTTACCTCTCAGGGCAGTTGCTTCCCAATCTGTACAATAAGGAGGTGACTCTCAAGAATCCCCAAGTTCCCTTGCAGTCCCCAGATCCCACAAAGAACACATAGCCTCAGGTGCGAACTGCAAATGAGAGGTCTGCTCAGAAATCAGATTTCTTTCTTTTGCTTCCCTTTGTAATTTTTCTAGAAAAATTCTTTGGCATTGGTGTTCTTGGGCTATGGCAGATGAAAAAAAGAGACAGTCAGGTTCTTTGGGGTTAAATGGAGCATTTAATGAAGGTTAAGCAAAAAGATGTGTGCTGGGCCTTTTTCTCACGTTGGATGTTTGGCTAATCGATCAGTGGATCCTGGCACCCGAGTGACGACCTGCATTGAAAAGGCGGAACTTGGCTCTCCTGCCCTGCCAGCTGTAAGAGCTTGAAAGCGAAGCTATGGGGGGAATGTCTTTCATTTCCCCCTGGAAGCTGGGAGGACGTTCAGCTTAGCATTGCCAACTGTGTAATGTGGGCTTGCCTCTAAAAGAAGCCTTTTTCCTTGGACGTCTTTCAGGCCGCAGTATTCCCTTTGGCACCCCCACCCACTTGGAACAAAGCCCGATGTAAAGTCTGGGTGCAACTCAGACCGGCCTGGGAAAGAATTTATTTAATAAATGGTGGAAAGTGGCTTCCTTACTGTGTCTTCAGTGGCTTTTTTTATAAAGCATTTGGTCTGTCTACTGGTCGGCTTTTGCCCCATCTCTTTCCACAAAGATGGCTTATAGCAAGGACACTGACAACAACACGATGCTGGGAAAACAAAGAAGTAGAGGTTTAGGCCTGAGAAAACTAGGAGTAGAGAATCAAGATTAGATAAAGAGGAGCATAGATGTGTAGTTTAGGAAGGCCAAGTCGTTGTTACAGTTGAAATTCAAATTCAGTTAGCTAAAATGTTTCTAGTGTCAAAGGCAGAATGGGCCACACAGTTGCATAATGCTTATTATTGGGGAGAAAGAAAAGATTCCACTTATTCAGAGGAATGTTCTCTTGCCTTATTCCTTTAATAAGTATCTATGAAAGGTCCACCATATGCCAAGCGCCATGCCAGGTAATCAAAGATGAAAGTGTTGCACTCAGCCGCCAGGAACTCAGTGTCTAAAGGGGACTGGGTGAAGGAACTGTATTTGTGTGCCTGCTATGTGTCAAATACTATGCATTTAGTTATGCAGTCTCTGTACATTAGACACTATGCATTTAATTATGTACATATATCAGACACCATGCATTTTCATTTAACCCTCATAAGCACTCATGGCAAGTAGATATTGTTATCTCTTTTTTACAGATAAGAAAACGGAGTCTCTTCCCGTAGCTGGTAAGTATCAAAGTTAGGACTCAAATCAAGGCCGTTCTCTCTTTTATATGGTGCTAGACTGTTGCATTATTTATTTTCTAACTTGCATTATTTGTTTTCTCTTCCTTTTCTTTTCCTTTTCAGAAACAGGGTCTTGCTCTGTTGCCCAGGCTGGAGTGTAGTGGAATGATCATAGCTCACCACAGCCTTGACCTCTTGTGCTCAATGATCTGCCTACCTATCCCCTCCTAAGTATCTGGGACTACTGGTGTGTGCCCCTGCACCCGGCTTATTTTTTAAATTTTTTTGTAGAATTGGGGTCTTACTGTGTCGCCCAGGCTGGTCTCAAACTCCTGGCCTGAAACGATCCCCCCAGCATGGCCTCCCAAAGTGTTGGGATTATAGGCTTGAGCCACCACAGCTGGCCCCCTGTTCTCTTTCTAACTGAACTTCAGCTTTGTTTAATTATTTAACACTCCTCAAAATAGCTAACATGGGCCAAGGGTCAATTACCCTATTTCTGACTCTCGTGGGCAGGATGGGAAGATTGATTAGCCAATCACAATAATCCCCAGTGCTTGGTTTAAGAATCTGGCTTAAACCAATTATGTGACATTCTCCTGGTGATTGTCTTAGGTCTAGGATGACATAAGCAGGCCCAATAAGACTGAAGGAATGGTCATCAATTCCATGTTTTGGTGAAAGGCTTTTCTATCTCTCTTGCTGGAAATAAACTAGTTGGTATGTTGCTGCTGGCAGCCCTTCTGTGACTCTGGAGGAAGCTGACTTTTCTGATACCAACTGTTCTGACACCAACTGGTGTACTGTAATATGAGTCTCCAAATGCAAATACAAATACCCAGAGTTAGTGCAGACTCCACACATTAAAGGGCACAGTCCCCTACAAGACTGTTTCACTTCAAATGTCAGCCACAAGGTGGGATCTCAGACCACCAGCATTTCTGAGCAGCTGGCTACAAATCTGGGTGTTCCCACAACCTGCTCAGGTTCAATCATTCACTAGAAGGACTCACAGAACTCAGGAAAGCCTACATGATTACAGTTTTATTATAAAGAATATCAATCTGGAGCCCAGGGCAAGGTCTAAGAGCTTCTAGAATGCAGGGCTTCTGGGCCCTCTCCCCATGGAACCGGGGCATATCACTCTCCCGCTGCATCAGCATGTTCATTAACCAGGAGCTCCACAGAGCTTCCACATCCAGAGTATTTATTAGAGTGCCATTCCATTGGCATGACTGAACATTGGCCATGGGATTGAACTCAATCTCCAGCTCCCCTCCCTTCCTTGGAGGTAGGGTTGGCTCAGAACCCCAACCCTCTAATTATGTGGTTGATCTTTCTGGTGACCAGTCCTAATCCTGAACCGTCTCAGCATAAACTCAGGTGTAATCCACGGAGCTCATGAATAACATACTCCTATCCCTTAGGACATTCCAGAGATTGTAAGAAGCTCTGTGCCAGGAACCTGGGACAGAACCAGACAAATTCTTTATTATACAATCCTGACCTTCAGACAAAGCTGAAGGTTATCGAGAAAATACTGATAGAACAGAAGAGAAGCAAAACCGGAGCCACACTGCTCTGCACTCTCTGAAATATGAGCTAGCACTGTCTTCATTATTTATGCCAGTTTGGGTTGGGTTTCTGTCACTTGTAGCTAATTGATCTTACATTGATTATTATACGTTGAACTGCGAGAAACAGAAAGCCCAACAAAAAATAACTTAATTAGAACTTCTATTATTCCATGAAATGAAAGCCTGGAGGTAAAACGGTTCTAGAGTTTTCACTTTCACTCAGGGCTGGGACGAGGCTAGCTCAAAATTTCAAGAGTCCAAAAAAATTCAATGAGCAAGAAAAATAATATGTATGGTGACATTTTAAAAATGAAAATTAATGCAAAATTGACTGAATAAAAAATCAAAATTTTAAGTAAAGACAATCAGCATTACTGATTTTTCTTTTGCATTGGGCTTCAATATCGCTCAGCATGGCTCTGTTACTAATCCTACCTTTATTTAAAATTTTGATATTTTCTCAAAATTTTGGATATTTGCATTATTTTTATCTTTAAAACTGTTAATCCTAGGCCAGGCACAGTGGTTCATACCTATAATCTGAGCACTTTGGGAGGCTATGGTGGGAGGATTGCTTGAGGTCAGGAGTTCAAGACCAGCCTGGGCATCATAGGGAGACCCTCTACAAAAAAGATACAAATTAGCCAGGTATGATGGTGCATGCCTGTACTTCCAGCTACTAAGGAGGCCAAGGTGGGAGGATTTCTGGAGCCCAGAAGTTCGAATCTGCAGTGAACTATGATTGCACCACTGTACTCCAGCCTGGGTGACAGAGCAAGACACTGTCTCAAAAAAAAAAAAAAAAAAAAAAAAGAGATCCAAGATGGCTGATCACTAGCAGCTCGGGATTGTAGCTCCCAGGGAAAGTGCAGAGAATGAGAGGACGCCACACTTTCAGACAAATTTTTGATGCTCACGCACCAGGAGATTCCCAGCGGAGGAGCCCCATGGGTCGCCAGCGCAACTCTTGTGGCCGGCAAGGTGGTTTTGCCGCTGCCTTGGTGCGGTGGTTCTTGGTGCAGAGTCAGAAAAGCACCATCAATCAAAATGCCACCGTTTTGGCCAGCGCAGTGGGTTGCTCAGATTTTAGCACTGGGAATCAACAAGTTGAACATCCACTCAGAAACCCAATTATAAAGACAGTAATTATAAAGACCACAGAAGGATAAATTTATAATGAAGGGAAGAAAACAGCCTAAAAAGGCTGAGAATACCCAAAATCAGAACGCCTTTCCCTCTACAGGGGATCACAGTTCCTCATCAGCAACAGAACAAGGCCTGATGGAGAACGAGTGTGTTCCATTAACAGAAGCAGCCTTCAAAAGGTGGGTGATAAGAAACATCTGTGAATTAAAAGAGCTTGTTCTAACCCAATGCAAAGAAACTAAGAACTTTGAAAAAAGGTTTGATGAAATGTTAACAAAAATACACAATTTAGAGAGGAATATAAGTGAATTAATGGAGCTGAAAAACACAACATGAGAACTTCACGAACTATGCACAAGTTTTAACAGCAGAATCGATCAAGCAGAAGAAAAGATATCAGGGCTCTCTGCACCTCCTGTTTGCCGGAAAGCCGCATCTAGTCTATCGCCAGCCACATCCCTGAGACACCATGGGGAAGGTGAAGGTCGGAGTTAACGGATTTGGTCATATTGGGCGCCTGGTCACCAGGGCTGCTTTTAACTCTGGCAAAGTGGATATTGTCGCCATCAATGATCCCTTCATTGACCTCAACTACATGGTCTACATGTTCCAGTATGATTCCACCCATGGCAAATTCCATGGCACTGTCAAGGCTGAGAACAGGAAGGTTGTTATCAATGGAAATCCCATCACCATCTTCCAGGAGCGAGATCCCTCCAAAATCAAGTGGGGCGATGCTGGTGCTGAGTACGTGGTGGAGTCCACTGGCGTCTTCACCACCATGGAGAAGGCTGGGGCTCACTTGCAGGGGGGAGCCAAAAGGGTCATCATATCTGCCCCTTCTGCTGATGCCCCCATGTTCGTGATGGGCATGAACCATGAGAAGTATGACAACAGCCTCAAGATCGTCAGCAATGCCTCCTGCACCACCAACTGCTTAGCGCCCCTGGCCAAGGTCATCCATGACAACTTTGGTATCGTGGAAGGACTCATGACCACTGTCCACGCCATCACTGCCACCCAGAAGACCGTGGATGGACCTCCGGGAAACTGTGGCGTGATGGCCGTGGGGCTCTCCAGAACATCATCCCTGCCTCTACTGGAGCTGCCAAGGCCGTGGGCAAGGTCATCCCTGAGCTGAACGGGAAGCTCACTGGCATGGCCTTCCGTGTCCCCACTGCCAACGTGTCAGTGGTGGACCTGACCTGCCGTCTGGAAAAACCTGCCAAATATGATGACATCAAGAAGGTGGTGAAGCAGGCGTCGGAGGGCCCCCTCAAGGGCATCCTGGGCTACACTGAGCACCAGGTGGTGTCCTCTGACTTCAACAGCGACACCCACTCTTCCACCTTCGATGCTGGGGCTGGCATTGCCCTCAACGACCACTTCGTCAAGCTCATTTCCTGGTATGACAATGAATTTGGCTACAGCAACAGGGTGGTGGACCTCATGTCCCACATGGCCTCCAAGGAGTAAGACCCCTGGACCACCAGCCCCAGCGAGAGCACGAGAGGAAGAGAGGCCCTCACTGCTGGGGAGTCCCTGCCACAGAGTCCCCCATCACACTGAATTGCCCCTCCTCACAGTTTCCATGCAGA